ATATATGAGTTTGTATGTAATGTATGAATATAATATACAAGTTTCACTTTTTAAATGGAATTACTGAAATAAATCTACTTTTTCATGATATTCTAATTTTATGACCAGCACCTGTATATACTTTAGGAACAAACTGACTTTAGTTCTTCTGGTCCAGTTCTGATCCTCATCAGCTGATCCTGTGAGTTATTTTGGGGGTCAGCTGTTGGTACCATCTGCACCTCCTCCTCCTCCTCCTCCTCTGTCCCTTCCCGTTTTCTCCTCTTCACCTCCTTCACCACACTGATCCGGTAAGGTTTCATTAACTCTCCTCGGAACTTTAGTTTTTATTTGTTGATCTTATTGATTCCTGTTTGGATTTTCAAACTAATGTGAATTATTATATTATTTTATTCTGAAAGGACTGAGTTGCTCAACAAGTCGCCTCGTCCTCTGAGTTGTTTCTGAAACTTTTTGTTCCTTCAGCTCAAACCCTCAGTTTTATTAAAAAAAACACTTCAGTTTTTGACTGAATTCTTTATTTACAGAAAATTTCTGCAGTTTCTCAGACGTTCTGATCGCGTTTTGTTTTGTTTGTTCAGTTATTTTATTATTTTGTCACATTTTATGAGCTAATATTTTGTGTTTTGCTGTTCATTGCCTCCATCCTTCTGTAAAGCTTATATTTCAGATTTTAATATCAGATTACTTTATTCTGTAGATTTTTTTTACGTATGTTTGATTTTTAGTTAATCTGTTTACAATCAGGATTTTATAATAATTTTAATCAGTTTTATAGATTTTTATGTGGATTTCTCTCAAATTATTTGATAATCAGGAGGTTTTTCTCTCCAGGATTATGTGATGTAAACAACTGACATGATTAATGTTTAGCTGGTATACTTGTTGAAATTCAGGGGGAGGAGCTCTGACGGCTTGTGTAATGTTGAGGGCGGGGCCTGATGATCTTTGGCACATGCAGGGTTGGGGTTAGGTTGGAGGTCAGAGGTCAGAGCAGCAGGTAGAGGACGACATGATGCAGGTAAACGGAGGAAATGTTGAAGCTGAAACGGTTGGGTTTTATCTGTGAGCAGCTCAAACAGGAAGTCTGACCATATTTGGAAGTTCTGGGAATAGAAACCTCTCTGACAGGTGTGCTTCTGGGTCGACTCAACTGTCCTGCTAATTTTAGACGTGACAGATGAAATAACCAGAGCAGAGGTCGTGTTGCCTCTGAGTCCAGCAGAAAAATAAAACCAGGAAGGAGATTAGACTCTTACTCTGAAAGTCCAGACTCAAACTTCTTCATGTTTCCTGCTGGACCCTCTGAGTGGGTGAAGTTTAAAAAAATCCTGCATCTGAATCTGTGATTGTGTAAAAAGTCCAACTTTCTGTGACCCACTGAAGATCCAAACAGGACTGGGTTTAACTCGGCTCATGTCTCTGAGAACAGGTGTTAACAAAGTTCAATCATTTCATCGATATCGTACAATGTTCCCTGATCAAACATGGAATCAAAGAACTGTTCCTGATTGTGTTGATTGTTTTAAATCTGACGATGTGTTTAAAGGGATCCCTGATTAGTTGTAACATTAGACTTTATTTGATAAACATTTAATTTAACAGTAAATAAAGACTGTAAAAATACTGTAGGCTGTTTAGTTTTGTAAATTTTTAAAAATACATTTTAACACAGATGGGGCTATTTTATTTACACACAAAGCATTCTGGGTAAATGATGA